AAGTTAATCTAAAATAAAAGGTAATGTTATATTTAAATATCTATTTTTTTATTTTAAATGGAATTTTGATAAATATCCCATTTTTCCTTCTTATTTTTCATATCACACACTTTTTCAAGAAATATTAGAAAAAATGAAATCTTCTTAAATGTCAAGAATAGTAAGTGTAAACGGACTAGATTTGGAAAAAGATTTTAAATGAAATCTACTAGATTTCGTGTATGTGTAAATGGGGTATTATCAACAAAAGAACTTTGTTAATTTACTTTTAGTAACATTTGAATTTTAAATAATTGTTTTTATGTTTTATAATTCAATTTTTCATTCTACTTTTGAAACTGAAAATAGTTGTTTATAATTTATTGAGTTCCAATATGTCCGGTAATTTTTTCAAATTCGGCCTCTTTGGGGAATAAACGGGTAAAAATTGTAATTTGGTACTTCTTTTGCACCCCATGTATCTTTTAAACCAGAGAACATTCAAAAACTATTATTGAATCCTTCATAACACCGGTACCAAGTGACATTTTTTGGTACTTTTTCATTCTCCAACTGGTACTTTTTGAGTTTTCTATGATATTGAAATCGAAACATGAAATTAATAATTAAGGGACTTTTCGGATCTTTTTGGTTCTACAAAGGTACTTTTTGAGTTTTCTATAAAATTTAACCTAGAAACATGAAATTAAGCAAGTAGAGTCCGGAGTAAATGAGAATCTATAAAATGGGACTTATTGGTAATTTATCGTACTTCGACTGGTACTTTTTTGACTTAGAAACATGTAATTAAGCACTTGAGAATCTATAAAAGTGGACTTTTTGGTACTTTTTCGTTCTTCAAAAGGAACTTTTTAAATTTTCTATAATATTAAACCTAGAAACATGAAAGCATGTAGAGCCCCGATTAAGTGAGAACCTGTAAAAGGGGACTTTTTGGTTCTTCAAAAGGTACATTTTGAATTATTGTATAATAATCAACCTAGAAACGTGAAATTTAGCATGTAGAGCCCGGATTAAGTGAGGTCCTATAAAAAGGGACTTTTTGGTACTTTTTCGTTCTTCAAAAGGTACTTTTTGAGTTTTCTATTAAATTGAACATAGAAACATGAAATTATGCACTTAGAGCCTGGAGTAAATGAGAATCTATAAAAGGGGAACTTTATCGTACTTCGACTGGTACTTTTTGAGTTTTCCATAAAATTAAACATAGAAACATAAAAATAAATATGTAGAAACTTTTCTGTGAACAGGTAGATAGCGTAAATGACGTATCGAAGATAAAAAAATTCCTATCCAAAACTCATGTCCAACCGGAATCTATGATCGATGACACGGGCAGGAGGCTTGAGGATATGGAGGAGACAATGAAACTCCTAATGGATTCTCATTTCCCACCCGGTATATCGAATAACATAGATGAACCGATATTGGAGGAAGGGGAGGGTAACACGGAAATAGTTATTACAACTGACATGGTTAAAGGGGCAATCAAGAGCTTTGCTCCCTATAAAGCTGCAGGGCCGGATGGAATTTTTCCGGCACTTTTGCAGATGGAGGCGGGACTGGTTTCCGTACATCTGTCACAGATATTCACTGCATGCTTAAAATTGGCATATACCCCAGTTAAATGGCAGGATGCAAGGGTAATATTTATACCCAAACCAGGGAAACCTAGCTATGCGACACCTAAGTCCTATCGACCGATAAGTCTTACGTCCTTCCTACTTAAAACCTTGGAACGGATAGTCGATATCATGGTTAAAAGCAGCATATCTTACAATGACCTTAAATATAAGCAGCATGCTTATGTAAAGGGACGATCGGTGGAAACCGCTTTAAATGAAGTTGTCCACTACATAGGTGAATCTTTCGATAGCAAACTGTATACACTGGCAGTATGCATTGACATCGAAGGCGCTTTCAATAACGTGCACACTGATACCCTTATCCAATCCCTAGACCAGTTTTATGTTGATCGGGTGCTCCGTAACTGGATCAACTACATGCTAAGGAACAGATGGATAAGCTGCGAGATGTACGATATAACTATCAGGAAAAAGGTATTTCGCGGTATACCACAGGGTGGCATTTTGTCACCTTTACTCTGGGTCACCACGATTAATAGCCTCCTAAGGACCCTAACCGAGAAAGGACTTAGACCTGTCTGCTATGCAGACGATGTCGTAATACTTTTAAAGGGAAAGGATCCAAATTACTTGTGTAGAAGAGCTGAGGAGGCTCTGAATACGGCCTTGAGCTGGGCTCAACCGAGAGGCCTAAATGTGAACCCGGCAAAAACGGAAATCTGTCTTTTCACAAGAAAGACAAAAATTTCTACGTATACTGAACCTTGCTTCCTGGGCAAGAAGATACCAGTGACAGACAAAGTTAAGTACTTAGGTGTAATCCTCGACCGGAAATTAAAATGGAGACACCACATAGAGGATAGGATCAACAAGGCACATCGGTGCTGGGCGATATGTAGGAGAACTATATGAAATGGGGTCTTAGTCCTACTATGACAAATTGGCTTTATAAAAGTGTAATTAGACCAATTCTAGCTTATGCTTCAATAATCTGGTGGACTGCTTTAGACAAAAAGTGCAATATCAAACTACTACAGGGAGTTCAGCGTACATGCTGCTTGGGTATAAGTGGTGCCATGTGTACTACTTCAACCAAGGCTCTGGAAACGTTGTTAGATATTCCACCCATTGAAACATATATAAGATATGAGGCGGCGCTTACAGCCGAACGGCTCTTTACTTTAGGCGAACTGGCCAAAAACGGTTATAGGACACGTCATCAATGTATACTGGACACATTGGAAGGTTATACACATTCATCGGACGTGCCTGATCGCATACCAGACACTGAATATGTCGGAAACTTTGAAACGCTAATCCCAGATAGAATGTCTTGGTCAAGCGGAACATTAGAGCAAATACCAGTAGGAATCCGTTGCTACACGGATGGCTCTAAATTAGGGGACAAAGTGGGTCTGGGGTTCTATATTGAAGACCCAGAAACAGAAATATACCACCGTTTACCTAATCATAACACAAGCTTCCAGGCAGAAGTACGAGCAATAACGGAATGTGTAAATTGGATTAGAATAAATATGGCGCCCACAGGGCTTAATATATTTACCGACAGCCAGAAGGCAATTTGTGCGATATCAGGTGATAGAATTAAATCTAAGACCGTATTGGATTGTAAGAAAGCTTTAACTGAATACTCTCCCAGAGGTAAGGTTCACATCATATGGGTACCAGGCCACTCGGGAGTAATCGGCAACGAAAGGGCGAATGTAATAGCTTTAAGGGGAAGGGAGCTCGATGTAATTAACCTGACAAACGCAAAACCATTCGACGCAACAAAAGCTGAATTAAAAATATGGATGAGAGAATCCCATAAGGCCTCTTGGAATAATGAAACGGTGGGTAGAACCACAAAGATTCTATGGGGTGACCCTGATGAGAGCAAGACGAGAAATCTTCTCAAAATGAGCAAGTCTGAGGTTAGTATGATGGTACGTATTCTGAGTGGACACAGGATTACGTGCACATCTATACAAAATTGGACGTGCGAATTCAGACGAATGTAGAGCATGTGGAGAGGACAGTGAAACTCTGGAGCACTTTCTTTGCCATTGTCAGGCATTCGTCGAAGTTAGATCCAAGTATCTTGGAAGTGATGTTATTCCGGAAATAACATTCTTAACCAACACAGATTGGAAGATTCTTAGGAATTACGTCCAGGAAACTGAGTTTCTGAACATGGAAAAATAATACATTCAGTGAACAATTTTTTTTTTTTTTTTTCTGAATTGGAGCGCACAACAGGCCCGATAGTGGCCTAGGTGTATTTCTTCGGATTTGATGTAGTATACATCCTCCTATCAACCTAACCTAACCTACTTATTTTAATCATAAAGAAATTACCGCTAAAATGGGAATAGTCTGCTTTTAGAGTTGCGAGTTTTCATACACTCTAATAATGTTTTCAAACTGAAAATTTTGGAATATTTTTTAATCTCTTTTGAAAGAACATTAACATCCATGTAAACATTTTGGGTAATAAATTGGGGGACTACCAATGAGGGGAGCGGAACCTCAAATATGAATTAAATACAAAAATTCGTTTATCTGGGAAACTAATAGAACAAAATTCTTCAAATTTTGCACGAAGAACTTTAATATTCATCTGAACATTTTGGTGAATAAAGGGCGGACTTTCATCTGGGGGGCTTGGAGCTCCCATATGAATTAAAAAGAAAAATTCGTATATCTGAGAAACTATTAGAGCTAGAATCTTCAAATTTTACTGAAGAACATTTAGAGAAATTGCAATAATTTGCGTGGAATCTCCCATATGTAACAAATTGTATATCTGGAAAACCATTGTAGTTAGAATCATCAAAATCGTTAAGTGGGTTTCTTATTTATATTGCTTTTAGGGTAGCACAACTGGGTATAGCTAGTAAATACGTTATTATTACGTTATTGATAATTTTCTTAATGCAAAATTTTTTAGAAACTGATTTTCTGCAACATGTTTTATATGGAGGATAGGGTTAAATATCGGCATATCCTCGTAAAACTTGGAGAAAGGATTTGTTTTTAATTTTTAAGAATTTTTTATTCATCCCTGCATAATTTCTCACACAACTTTTGAGCTTGCTCTGTTTTGTTTTTATAAACAATATATTTGTTTCTAAAATCCCACTTTCTGATCTCTCGGATTCCGTTTTTATTTAAAATCGTTGAAAATTTAAAAACTAAACGTAGTTGAAAACTTGCCGGCTTACATTCGATTTTAAGCCGCCGCCGACATATTTAGTGTCAGTCGCCGCCGTCGTTAATATTTGTCGGCGCAGGGCTCTGGAGTAAGGTCGGTTAAATTTGTGTAAATATGATTTATCGTCGTCAGAATATTTAGAAGATTAAAATGTTATATCTGTGATTAAAATGAACACTCGCTCGACAGCCGTGAATGTCCGAGTACTTTTTTTTGCTAAAACACGTGAACTGTCCGGACTAAACGAAGTGAATTATGAATTAAGTTCTCCAAAAATTGTTGCATCCGATCTTTTGCTTAAAATTTGTAAAGACTTTAACTTGGAAGTGATTAGAGAAAGTTTAATTCTAGCTATTAACGAAAGCTACTGTGAAGATTTGCATTCAGAACTACAATTAAACGAAGGTGACGAAATTGCTATCATACCACCGATAAGTGGTGGATAATATATACATAACTAAAAATTTGTGGGATTGCGATAGATCGGAATATAATGAATCATTTGATACTTACCCGCGATATTTTAAATGTTGGTGAAATTAGTGACACCGTATCCGCTAAATCTTGTGGAGCAATATCATTATTTGTCGGTACGACCCGTGATTGTTTTGAGGGAAAAAGGGTAGGAGCGTTTTTGTAGTAGTACATTTTACACCTTGCATAATATCTGGACTGCTTACAGGTATGTTCATTGGAGTATGAAGCCTACGAACCAATGGCTATTAAACAAATTGAACTTATTTGTAAGGAGCTTAGGCGTCAATGGCCAGACATAGTAAATATCGCAATATGCCACCGTTTGGGTTTAGTAGAAGTTCGAGAGGCCAGTGTCGTGATTGCTATTTCTTCACCACATCGTAAAACATCATTGGACGCAGTCGGGGTTGCAATAGATGAACTTAAGAAACGTGTACCGATCTGGAAGAAAGAAATATACGATGAAAATGAATCCACTTGGAAAGAGAACAAGGAATGTCAGTGGCTAAAAAAAAATCCAATCAGATAGTAGTAATATTTCCTTTAATATTTGTTATTATTATTCAAAATAAGTATACAAGTGATCCATTATTATTTACCAGCAAAAAGTAAAATATTTCTATTATTTACGTTTTTAGGTCTAATTTTCCGAAAAAAAATAATCTACTATTAGTGGTACCTTCTTATACTCATTTATTTTACACGTACAGTTACTTAACCATTTCTATTCCAAGAAATGCGATTGAACTCATATACAGTGATGTTCCTTAAAATAGAGCCACCTGCTCATTCAAAGTTTCTTTTCACTTAAAATCTTTGGATCGGGAAATATGGAGTCATAAAAATTTCGATTTTGAGGACACAAAAGTATGGAACCTCCTTAAAAATTTTAATTATTTTTATGCTCGAGTCTTTTTATTATTAAGCTTTAAAACAGTTAAGTTATATTCCCTTTAAAGGGTACACCGAGCTCACAAAAAAGTTATCTTCTATTTAAGTCAATATTTTTCGCTTCAAAAAAGTGCAATTTTCGCGACATTTTTTGGTTTAAACTTATATACCATTTTCTTGGAGACGGTGTTAATCTGTTAACTACATTCCACATGCTGTTAAAATACGTTCAACACATTCCCCGTTAAAATTTAATTTCGGACAGACCTGAATGGGACTCTGACACATATGGTGGAAGCTAGTAGGGAGAAGTTCCCAAATCTGGAGAGGAGATTTTAAGTTGTTTCCCAGGGCGGACGCTGTAGGGGAAATTATTTCTAATTTTTTTTGAACTTTAAGTTTTAAACGTGTTGTGGGCCACCTAGGACACACCTGAACGGATGGAAGCTAGGAGGGAGTAGTCTCCATATCTGGAAAGGGAATTTTAAATTGTTTCTCAGGGCGGATTGTAAGTAAGGGCATAGAATTTATTTCTAAATTTTTTGCACTTTAGGTTCTAAACGTATTTTGGGTCACCTACGACAGACCTGAACGTGATTCTGGCACATAGGGTGAAAGCTAAGACGGAGTAGTGTCCAATACTGGAAAGAGTATTTTAAGTTGTATCTCAGGGAGGGCGCAATAAGGGGTGGAATTTAATTAATTTTTCTTTTGTACTTTAAGTTCCAAACATATTGCGGGCCACATGGGACAGACCTGAATGGGATCTTAACACATAAGGTGAAAGCTAGGACGAAGTACTGTCCAAAACTGGAAAGAGGATTTTAAGTTGTTTCTCAGGGAGGGCGCTATAAGGGGTGGAATTTAATTAATTTTTCTTTTGTACTTTAAGTTCCAACCTTATTGCGGGTCACATCGGACTTTCCTGAATCGGAGCTAGGACGGAGTAGCGTACAAAACTGGAAAGAGGATTTTAAGTTGTTTCTCAGGGAGGGTGCTATAAGGGGTGTAATTTAATTAATTTTTCTTTTGTACTTTAAGTTCCAACCATATTGCGGGTCACATGGGACAGACCTGAATCGGATCTTAACACATAAGGTGAAAGCTAGGACGGAGTAGTGCCCAAAACTGGAAAGAGGATATTTATTTAGTCTCAGGGAGGGCGCTATAAGGGGTGTATCTTAGGACATAAGGTGAAAGCTAGGATGGAGTAGTGTCTAAAACTGGAAAGAAGACTTTTAGTTGTTTCTCAGGTAGAACGCTATAAAGGTTCGAATTTATTTACACAGTTTATGTTCCAAATGTATCGCGGGCCACCTAGGACAGACCTGAATTAGATTCTAACACATAGGATGAAAGCTAGGAGGAAGTAGTATACGAAACTGGTATGAGAAACACTTGTTTATTATTCAATAACTTTATTATTTTATTTTAAATGTATTTTATACTTAGTAGCCTTATACCCCATTTTCACATACACGAAATCTAGTACTTATGAGATTTCGAGCCAAATCTACTTGATTTTAACTAGATTTCCCATACAAAACAAAATCTACTTCGTAACTAGATTTCGTTAAAATCTACTCAAAATCTAATAGTTTTTAGTGATGCAACTCTGTTTTTTCCTAAATAATACTAAAAAATACGACACTACACAAGAAAAAAGAGGAAAACAAAACAAACAAAAAAAATTAAAATGTCGACAAAATTTTTATAAATTGAAAAACATGAATGAAAAGTTAATCTAAAATAAAAGGTAATGTTATATTTAAATATCTATTTTTTTTATTTTAAATGGAATTTTGATAAATATTCCATTTTTCCTTCTTATTTTTCATATCACACACTTTTTCAAGTAATATTAGAAAAAATGAAATCTTCTTAAATGTCAAGAATAGTAAGTGTAAACGGACTAGATTTTGAAAAAGATTTTAAATGAAATCTACTAGATTTCGTGTATGTGTAAATGGGGTATTATCCTGATTCTCAATTTTTTTGTAATAAATAGACGTGTTTCTTTAAAAAGACAAAAGTTTTAAGTCTTTTAGGTGAGAAGTGGAATCTGAACGGATATTTTATTAACAACGAATTTTTACCTAACGTTTCCAAAATGAAAAAACTTTCAACATTGAAAGTGGATGAGCTAAAACAGCTATTACGCGAACGTGAATTACCAACATCAGGTTCAAAGGCAGAACTTGTTCAACATGTAGCTAATATGCAACGTCAACATGTCAATACAATTTCTAACGAATACCCAAGCTCACGTCAAAATGCAAATTATTCTGCTCGAACGTGTGGAACGTGTAGATAGTGCAATACAGGCATATCGATGGGAAGAAAAGTGTTTACTTTTTGCGGTGTACAGTAAAATGAAAGGCGCCGCTCGTTTATGGTTAGATTCTCTTCAAGTTCTTCATTCCAAATAGAATGATTTTTCCAGAGTGTTAAAAAGAGAATTTGTAGCGACACAAGATGAAGCAGAAATTCATTTTAAAATGATAAGTGCCGTTCGGAAAAGTGATGAAAAAGTAACGGATTATTGTTTTAGAATTTGCGCGCTCGGTAAACGATACAAGTTGAGTGAAAAAGCAATCGTTAAATATATTCGGGAAGGACTACAGAATCGCGAAATTCAAGTTGCTATCGCTACTCATAAAATCGATTCGGTTAAACAATTACGGGAAATTTTAAGTGAGTACGAAAGAAATGTGTCGGATAAACGTATGTTTATGAGAAACACTTGTTTATTATTCAATAACTTTATTATTTTATTTTAAATATATTTTATACTTAGTAGCCTTATCCTGATTCTCAAATTTTTTTACTTTGAATTGATTGTCATAATTGAATATTTCATTGAAAAATAGTTTTTCATATTAACAAAACGACTTTCGCACAGTGGTATAGGAAAAAAAAGAGGGAAATAATTCGGTAACTTCTAAACGGTTAATCCGATATTAATGAAATTTGGTATGCACAAAGAGGAGGTGTTGTCGAGTTTAGGTTTTGAATTTGGACCTTATAGGCCAACCAGGAGCCCGGCGGGGGGGTCCTCAAATTAGGACACCTCGGCTATGTTAAATTTTTAAAACGATCCTATTCTTCATTTGAGTTCCGATTTAAAAAAATTTCGTATATAGAATCTCCTCATCGAGCACTATAAAAAATGTCGTCGTAGCTATAATTTGATATCGACTATGCGATTTGAGAATTTTTGCTCAAAATTGAATTTTCCATAAAAAATAGGGTTTTTTGGATGGACCTAGTCCCCTCGGTATCAAAAATTTTTAGGTTTTGTTTCATTTATCGTAGTTTATGTAAAGTCAGCTTTCCAAAAAGTATAAATTCTATATACATCTTCTTAGAAACTTTTTAGATAACTTAAAAAGAAAAAGATACTTTTTTCCCAAAAAAATGGCAAAAAATCGCCTTTTTTAATTTTTTAAATTAAAATGCCTATAACTTTGGACTCAGTCATGATTTTTACATAATTCTTTCACTGCTTGATATATAAACTTGTTGTTAAGCGAATAAAAAAAATGGCGAAAATCGGGAATATTTGGACCCGCTATTATCAAAAAACTAAAGTAAGGACGGTAAAAATTTTAAAATTTTAATTTTCAAATGCGAATATCTCCTAAACTATAAGAGATAATTTACTGCTACGATGAGGAGATTCTATATACGAAATTTTTTAAATCGGAACTCAAATGAAGAAATAGGATCGTTTTAAAAATTAAACATAGCCGAGGTGTCCTAATTTGAGGACCCCCCGCCGGGCCCCTGGTTGGCCTATAAGGTCCAAATTCAAAACCTAAACTCGCCAACACCTCTTTGTGCATACCAAATTTCATTAAAATCGAATTAACCGTTTAGAAGTTAACGAATTATTACCCTCTTTTTTTTTCCTATACCGCTGTGTTTCTTTTAAACCTTTGTAATAAATAGACGTGTTTCTTTAAAAAGACAAAAGTTTTAAGTCTTTTACTGGTAAGGGGATTTTAAGTTGTTTCGCAGGGCCCGTTATAGGAAGTTGAATTAGTTTCTGTTTTTTTTTTGTACTTTAAGTTTCAAACGTTTTTTATTGTTGTATTGGAATTTAAAACTTTAAATCGTTCTCCTGAAAATTACAAAAAAACTTTCTACTTTTGCCTTTTTACCACAGAAATGTGTACGACTAAACAAATTTAAGGGTTTAGATTTTATGAAAATATAACACCGTGCGACAGCAATTATTGGACCTGAACGAGACCATATATACATGATACTAGAGGTCATTTGAAGTGAAACTGCGTTTTCAGTTTTTCAATTTGTGATCTTTTCTCCTTTATAAAGGACTTTAACCTTGTAAGGATATTAAAATTTATTAAAATGACCTCTAAGGTTTCAACATACATATATTTTTTTAAGAAAAAAAGAAAATATATAAGAAATTCCAAAGGATATAAAAGGATGAAATTTTCAGAGGACATCCTTTAAAAGGAGAAAAGATCACAAAATGAAAAACTGAAAACGCAGTTTCACTTTAAATGACCTCTAGTATCATGTGTATATGGACTCGTTCAGGTCCAATAAAAAAACTGTAAAATTGTATCACGTTGTAATGTTTGTCAAAGTAAAAATTAAATTTGTAACCAAAAAATATTTCATAACTGATAACAATTTTGTAATTAATTTTCATTCAGAATAAGAGAAATTCAAAAATAGTACATATAACATTGTACATATGTAGGAAACATTAAGTTTTTTACTTATTTTTCAATAATTCATTAAAAATTTTTGAGAAACAAAAGCTGAAATAAACAATAGTTAAGACCTCGGTTAGCAATTGAATTTGTAGCGAATTTTTTTTTAGTAAAAAATTAGAAATTTTTTTTTTTTTTTTTTTTTTTTAAATCAAATTTTGAAAAATGTTTAAGCCAAAGAATATAAAGAAATTGGGGCTTGTCAGTTGGTACGTAAAGGAGTTGTCATTCGGTACCTAACTCTAAGTATGTATTGGTAGAATTTTTGTATTAGTATTGGAGCTCCAACCACTTTCACCACACTTTTCAAACATACATACTTGCATAAAATCGTACATAAAAATTTTAGGAAAAATAAATAACATTTAAATTTCTACATTCGCAGATTTTTTAATTTATTTTGCTCACATCTAATCAGTAAACATTTAATAAATATTTTTTTCGGACTTAAAATCTCTTTTTTTTGCAAAAAAATAAGTTTATTTTAAATCATTTTTTCATTTTCAATATCAAAATGTACAACTTTGTTTTATCAATTTTAATTTCAACACACAAAAATTAACTGTCAAAAAAATTAAAATAATATTTTTTTAGTTTGTGAAAAATAAAAATATTTCGGATTGTTAAATGCGATAAAATTGTGTAAAAAATAGTTATGTGTTTGTGAAAAAACGTCGTTCAAGTCCTATAATCCCGGTATTTTCGGGAAAAAGTTTTGAAGTATTGTGAGAGAATTGAGTTCTCACAAGTGTGTTGAATTTACACAGAACTCGTCTGTGAAGAGAAGGATATGTTATTGTTGTAAAACAATGTCATAGTCCAACTTCTTATTATTCTTTGGTTTAAGCCTAGAATCAAAAAATAATAAGAAATTAGGGCTTGTCAGTTGGTACCTAAAGGAGTTGTCATTCGGTACCTAACTCTAAGAATGTATTGGTAGAATTTTTGTACAAGTATTGTAGCTCCAACCACTTTCACCACTGAATCAAAACCTACATAGTTGCATAAAAACGTACTTAAAAATTTTTGGAAAAATATAAAACATTTAAATTTATACTTTCACAGATTTTTAATCTTATTATTGCACATTTGATCTGTAAACATTTAATAAATACATTTTTCAATTTGTTTATTCCCCTATTTGCAAAATATTATGTATATTTTAAATTTATTTACAATTTTCAATACTAAAATTTACAACTTCGTTTTTTCTAGTTTTATTTAAATACCTCAAAAATTAATTGTCAAAAAATTAAAAAAAATATATAAAACTATTTCGGGCTATTAAACGGTGTAAAAATGCGCAAAAAATTACAAAATGTGTTGTGTGTGTGAGAAAATGTGAAAGAAGTGAAATTATCTCCATATTTTCGCGAAAAAAGTTGAAGTGTTCTGAGACGGATTTTCACCAGTGTGTTGAATTCATACAAAACTCGTCTGTGTGGAGAGGGATATGTTATTGTTGTAAAACAATGTCATAGTCCAACTTCTTATTATTCTTTGCCATGATGTAATAAGTAAGGTGAGAGCGTTTTTTTAGAATAAAAATAAATAAATTTATTTTGACACAACCCAAGCACTTTTTTAATAAAAAAATAAAAATCAGCTGTCTTAACGATTTCACCATAGACTACTCATAGACTGGAATCAGCTGATTTTAGCTATATGGCGGAGGCAAACAAAAAAAATTTTACGAAAAATCAACAAAAGAAAATGTAAAATGAACCACGGGAGATTTAAAAGAGGGACAAATATATAAAGATATATTTCCATCTCTCTTCACCTTACACTTAATTTTTTTCAAATATAAAAAACAAATTGCATTACAGTCAAACCCATTTATAACTTTTTCTTGCTCTTTACGAACTCATCTTAATTACCGGAATTTTGATAACTATTTTGATACAAAAACATATTTTATAAAGAATTCTTGGTTAAAACGAATTACTATTTAGTCCCATGAATACAATTTTATACATTTATCCTTTTTTATATCGAACTTCAAAAAATATGCGTTGAATCAAATAAACGGGTTTTACTGTACATGCAAGTCAAAAAATTTGTTTGTGGTGTTGATAGTGTATTGAAAAGTGTTTTATAATGAAAGAACATTAAGGAATAATTAAAAAACAAATCCAGTACACTTTTAATTAGAATCTAAGCAAATATTTAATAAAATAATTGTTTTCTTTTTAATCTTATTTTTTTGCAATTCTTCTTCACATACAATTTCTTGGATGTTTTCATTTTTTGCTATTTTTTTTCAAACGAGCGATGAAAACAATCATACATCTCACACACTCATCGATTTTTTAATACATTTTATTTTTTCTTTTGCTCTAAAATTTTACCTAATGGCGGAACTCAAAAATGTTAAAAAAAAATGTAAACAAAACCATATGGTTCGAATTTACTTTTTTGACAGCTGTCAATGGTTTCTTATCTGGTTATCTGTGGATTTCACCTTACTTAGTGCATCCTGATTCTTTGCCTAGAATATTACCGTAGAACAGGGATGCCAGATATATTTTTGAAAAAAATCGTCAATTTCCCGATACATTTTTAAATAATCGTCATTTTGGTTTTCAGAAATCGTCAAAAAAATCGGAGAATATGAAAATCTTAAAATTTTTATAAAAAATTAAAAATATTGTAATATTTTAAGATGAAATATAATAAAAAAATTATAATATTAATACATATTTATGTAAAATTCGAAAAATACGGAATATTATTGCTCAAAATTCAATAAACTTTGAGTTTTGAAGAATATTCATTACTGTCGAATATTCTTCAAAACTCAAAGTTTATTGAATTCTAATTAATTATAATTCTTTTCTAAAGTTCTTATTATAATTCTTTTCTAATGTTCTCTTAATGTTTTCAACGTTCTGGCATTTTTAAAAATATCAAACATAAATACTGCTAAAATTAACATAGTGTACA